TTTGTCGTCAAGTTTGCAACGAGCACACACACACAAAGTATATTTATTCTTGATCGAGTCTATATAGCCATATGAGCCGATCTCAGAGCATATAAGAACTGAAGAATTGAAATTTGAAATATAAGCATTCAAATGCCCCAAACAGATCAAGTTTATTTCATTTTATTGTTAGCTGCCCTCGTGTCTCAATTGATATTTAATATACTCAAACATATTATGGATCAACTGTGTGAATGAAGAAAGACAATTGTTGTTAACCAAAGCATATTTTCATATTCAACCAACTAATTTCAACATACTCATTAAAACTCGATACAGGGTATCTCCCAGTCGAGCTCTAACTCGACTCGAGCTCAACTCGCCCACCCAGCATAGTTAGCAACAACAAAATTCTTAATTGCAGCCTTTGGGCAATATGTGTTTTGTTTTTTTCTTTTTGGAATTCGCATAATTTTTGAAGCTCTTAACTCTGGGCTTGAATGCATGATGTAAGCTGCCTAATTTGTCTTCACCTTTTGTTCATCAGGTTCGTCCGGTCCGGTTGGGTTCGGTGTGGTCAACGTCATAATTCATAATATTTGCCAAATTTTCGGGCAACGTTTCTTGGCATTTGACTTTAGTTTTTAGTTTGTTTTTTTTTTTATATATATATATATTTTTTATTATTTTTAGTCATTCATTCATTCATCATTCGATCACATATGAAATTAAGTATCAAAAAGTGTGGTTTACCACGCTGCTCAGAGTGCAACCACCCAATAAAAAAAAACGTGGTGAACAAAAAACAACAAAAAAAAAAAAAACAAAAAAAAAAACAACAAAAAAAACAACAACAAAAAAACACACACACATAAAAAATGCGTTGATGACTAAACGTTATTAAGTGTAATGAAATTGAAGTACGCTTTGTACCCCTGACCCAGTAACAAGTTTGTAATAGGAATAACAACAACAACAACACACACACTCAAGTAATATGTGTGTGTGTGTGTGTGTGTGTGTGATGTGTGTGTTTTTCATATCTCATAAATATGCTTACGATTAGAGCTGCCAGCCGCCCGCATCTGAGTTGATTTTGTTAATAGGCGACAATCGTGGCGCGACTATTAATCGCAAAATCGCTGCTACAATAACAACCAGCCCCTCCCCCCTCTTACACACCTCCTTTACCCCTCTCCACCCAACATCCTCCTCCCACTCTTGGCTTAAATGTATGCGTGTGTGTGTGTGTGTGTGTGAGTTTTTGTGTTAATTCGATAATTGTAGCATTTGCAGCAGGTACTCAAAAACTCAAACTCAAATTGAGCTGCTAACAAAAAAGTATTCAGCGCAATTGGCCAAAGTCTTGGCTTGTTTGGAGGGTGCGTTCACTTAACAGTTTCGATTATGTATCTGGCCAAAAGTTTGTGCTCATAACTAAAGTTAAGGGCAAAAAAAAAAACATAACAACAACAACAACAAATCAACAATCAATTTCGAACTAAAAAATATAATAAATAAAATAAAAAAAATGGCTCAGCTGCCGTTTCACTTTTGAAGTGAAACTTTTGGCATTACATTGTCAAATGGCCATTGTCAGCTTGAAGTTGGAACTGAAGCTGTAGTTGGCAGCGCGACTTTAAATGATTTCATTTCACCCACATCACCCACATATGATGATGATGGTGGTGAGGATGATGAACATCATGAGCATCATCATATCCGTCAAGCATGCGAATCATCTCGCTGTGATCTGTGATCTGCGAGTGCGACTCACAGCAATTAATAAACAAATGAAATGCCAACAACAATGCGGGTTCATGACCACAACACGACAACCATCATCCCTCTACCAACCGCTCCCCTTCACCCACTTTCACCCCCCCCTCGTCGGTTGGCAAATTGCGTGCGCGAACAACTAAATTTTATGATGCGATGGGATTCAGGCGGCTGATCGGCTAGCTGAATGAAAGAGGAGACTCAGAGACGGAGACGTAGATGGAGATGGAGACGGAGACGGAGACGGAGACGGAGACGGAGACGGAGACATTGCCATCCCAGCACCAGATACCAGAGACATCAGACACCAGACTTCAGGCAAACCAAGATGCGTCTGCGCAATCAATTGAAAAGAACGAAAACAACACGAGAGAAAACTTCTTTCTGTCATCGGCAATCCGAAGATTTTATACCCTTGTGGATCGTCAGGCAATCTGCCGATCGATTGTACTATTGAATGCCATTTGATATTTAAGTGTTGATGTTTTCATAACAACAACAAAATCTGTCGAAACTCAACTTCTTATTCAGAAAGCATATATTTAAAACACACAAAAAAATGTAAATGAGTCAAGACAAACTTAAGGATAACATTGAAATACTCTCGGCAAGGGTGTAAAAAATAACGTGGCAAAATAAAACAAAATAAAATTTATAAAAATAGCAGCCCTCATAATGGCAGCACCCCTTACACCGCCCCCTCCTCCACCGTTTTCCATCCTTTACCCGCATCCAGCAGCTTAATGGATGGCTTTGGCTTAACTGACAAATGAACGACGATTAAATTCCATGCCGAAAGATCGAATAATCGATAAAGCCCAGTATGATGAGATGATCAAGTATGCATGATGCATGATGATCAACTTCTTTTGAGTGTATATCCCGGCAACGAAGCGATATGTGAATGATGATTCACTTTAATTTCTATCTGTGCTTTAATGCGAATGCCATATTAAACAGAGATCAACTGATCCGTAAATAATATTCTGATTCTCTTGGTTAGAATTTAAAATTTGAGTTGTTTTCAGTTTCTTTGAGTCGATTATTATATTTTTCATTCCATATATATTCTATGCGAGTTTCCGATTAAATCGAAAGAGCCTATGCAAGGCTCAGAGGTCTTTTGCCAAGATTGTTGTTCGTTGGCACAGTAATTGAAAATATTAAATAAAAGCCAATGCATATTAAAGGTAATTGAAAACTTTATTTTTTTCTTTCTTTTAGTTTTTTTTAAGCACTCTTTTTATGCTGTCGAGTGCAAAGATCATCCAAGAACTACAAATCGAATGGAAATATTACTTTCAGCCACGTTACTTTCAGCCACGTTGAGAAATGTGTTGGGCATGCTTCAACCCTTGGGCAATTACTTGACCCACACACACACACACACACACACACACACACAGATACACACACAGATACACAGACAGACACACATGCAAATGTGTCAGTGGAGCTATCCATTTGGCTGGAGCTGTCGAGTCGTGCAATAGATATTAATAATTATTGAATTATGGCTAGAAATACGTCAATGGCGATGGCGATGGCGATTAATGACAAACGACGACAAATCGTTTCCCGGCCGGTTGGGCAATCGTTTGGATCGATTGGATGGATCGATTGGATCGTCCGATGGATCATTTGTGGATCGTTGGGAATTGTCGTTTTATTGTTCGCTGCTCACCTTTAACGTCAGTTTCGATCTATGAATTAATTTGTACCGCGTTTACCCAATTTGTCTATCGCTTCTTATTGTTATTTTTCTTTCTGTTTTTTTATTTTTATTTTTTTTTTTTTTTTAGTGCTGGCTTGTTTGAATGACAATTGAGGCAAGAGATATGATAAGCGGCTGGGAAGGCGAATGAAAAACGAAATCGAAATTGAAATTGAAAGCGAAAACGAAATTGAAACCCAACACCAAAAACTGTAACTAAAAACCCCAAACAACATTTTAAAAAAAATGCAATCAAAATTATGCGACAAACTGTGCGTCACTTAATGTTTTTTATACCCATGCAGTATGCAGGGTATATTCATTTTATCAACGAGTATGCAACGCAGTGCAGCAGATGTCTCCTATATACTATATATTCTTGATCCACATGGACTGGTTCGTCTGTCTGTACGAAATAATCAGTGTATTCATGAATCTTGGCATTTATCCAGCTATTTGCTGCAGGCAAATTTGTCGGCGCCAGCCGGATCAGATTACTATAACATATAGTTAGGCATAGCATAGGTAAACCAAACCAAACCAAACTCGTATATCATTTTTTGATTATCAAGTTGTGCTTATTATTATGAAATTTGAATTGCCTTCCCGGTGTGGAAGAGTATGCAATTGTCGGCGTGTCTAAGATCTGAGTTCTGACTTGTTAAATATCTTATTTGATTGGATTTGCTGTTGTTGTCTGTTTTCACTTTTTGGCAAGCAGCCCATAAAGCGATTCACATACCTGACCTACGACATTTAGCTATATATCGTGTATATTCACATACTTGGCTGATGCGACATTTATATATATATGTATATGTTTGCTCACATCTGCCTAATGCGAAATGACGAAATGTTTTATATTTTTATTTCGGTCAGATATGAGGGGATATGGCGGGGACTCGTGATTCACTTTCTCAGAACGGAATGATTAGTGCGGATGCGTCGCATGTATAAATATGCTTAAGGAATGAGTGTATCTGGGTATCTGGGTTCTGTGGTGGGGGTGGTTGACGACGGGCACCACGTAATACTCGATAAGCGAAACTTTTAATGGGGCATTGTAGGAAACTAGAGTAAATTGTATGCTATTTGCCAATGGGTGAGCCGAATTGTTAGCTTGGTGAACTTCGATATCTAATCAATAATTTATAACTTCTATAATAATGAAATATGCTTAAAGTTTGTGGAACTTCTACACGTATATATATATATATAAATATAAACAATAATTCATAGCTAGAACTAACTAAATAGCACTTTATATGTATTATTTATTAAATTTAAATAGTTTAAAAATTTCAAATTGAGAATTAAAGTTGCAAATTAAATGAGATCATTTAAATTTACAATATAAAATTAAAATATGTATTCATGATCAGATCTAGTTTAATGCTCTTAAAATGACCAACTGACGTTGTCGGCCTAAACATAATGGCAAATAGCTTTTTTAATCTTTAATCTTTCATCTTTATTCTTAATTATTGATGTCAGTTTCTCGAATTTGGAATAGTCAACTGGAACTTACCCAATGGATTGTTGCGTGTCTTCAAAACGTTTTGTGTTTGTGTTGGTTTTGTTCGGAACCTAAAAGAAGAAGAATAACAAAGAATGTTAATAGGAAAACGTAAGAAAAACAAAGAAAAATTTCAATATATATACGAATATATATATATATATATGAATGAATATGTTCAAGTATGCAAAGGTATTGTGTGACATCATCAGAAAAATGTGCCTACCAGGTAGAAAACGGTAAATGGTGTTTTATATTTGCCTAATGTCATTGGGTGTTACACACGACACACACACACAGACACACACACACACACACACTGAGCAAATAAGTCAATAAATATAGGCGTTAACTTGGCTCAAATGGCCTACGTAAATATGCGATGAAATGCGCGAAAAGCTACGAGTGCGACTCATGGATGAATACGCTGTGTGGACAGACAACAGACGGACAGATTGAGATACTGACTGGAAGACAGACTGCCAGGCAGACAGACACACAGACAGACAGACAGACAGATCGGCAGACATACATATAGATATAGAAGTATGTAGTGGGACAGACGAGTACAACCAATACAACTCGTTGTCTTCGTGTAGGCTTGTTTCACAATCACGCACAACACACACACACACACACACACAGCAAAAAGTTGGCAATAAGCTAAAAGCCAACAAATGTTTGACAAGCGGAAATGGCAAAAAGCTCAGCAAACACACGCAGCAAGCAAAAAATGACACTAAACACATCCGAAAATAGAAACGGAAGCGGAGCTGAGAGCACTCGGACTGATCCTGCCTGCCAGGAACCAGTGGGAAGATTATATACATATATATATATATATATATATATATATAAATTTAGATAGAACATAGAACATAAATGTTAGTTTTTGTGGACGGTTCAGTTTCAGTTTTGCAATAGTCGAATTTAAATTGTTTTGTGTTTGTTTAACTCTTTATATATATATATATATATCAAATAGATATTTAGAGGGCTCCAAATTAAATGAAATTCATTTGAAAATCGTTGAAATTTTAATTATAGTAAAAAGATAAATCCAAATTTGCTTGAAAATTCAATTTGCTAAGAAATCTGAATCATTTGTTTCTTTTACATTTTTCAACTGAACAAGAGAAATTCTGTTTTTATTTAGGTATTTTAAATATGTATTTTATTTGTTATCCTCCGATATATTTGGAATACCGATTCGGGATACGTCTGTTGTACAAATCACAATTCATTTTGAATATTTTAAACATGAAACATTTACCAATAACAGCCTCTGTTCATTGGAAAAGAACAACAAATTCGGAAATTCGAATACGTTTCAGAAATGAAACGAACTTCATTCAGTGGGCAGGCAAGCAAGGATAATGCGTAGCCTTGAAATCGCATTAGAATTTCAGTTTGAGGCACAACACACATTCGGTGGCAAGTTGCAAAGTGTGAACATAACCTCAACATCCGCACAACAATAGAACTGTGAAAATATCTATGGATGGATTAGTGGGAAATGTGTTAAAATACAGCGTGCTGAGCAGCAGGTAAGCAGTTAAGGCCAGCAACAATGTCAATGGCCCAAAGGCCGTTAATGAGTAGAGTGACCCTGGTGTTGTTGCATTAATTGTTCACCTTTCGCTTGGTCCTTGATTCGACACGACTCCTGACCCCTGCTGTGGCGTGTGTGCGAGTGTGTGTGTGTCTGTATGTGAGTGTGTTTGTGTGTTTGTCATATGCCTGCGCATGCGGTCATCAAGGTCACCGCCCGAACAGCTGACATGACTCAACCTCTAAATCTGGCCATCATTCCACCCACAATAAAGTTTTATTACTTTTAAATAGCCAACAAATGGCGTGCTAGGAATATGACTCATCGACTCAAGCTTCAACCCCAAACCCCAAAGCCGAAACCCCGGACCCCAGACCCCAGACCCCCAATCAGAGAGCCTTACCTTGTGCAAGAACAGTTAGTTGACTTATAGCTGACGGCTTTGTTCTAATGCATTTCAACTATGAATACAATGTTTGCTCGTGGAATACTTCATCACTTCACTTAACACACAATCTGCAGATAAATTTAATCACTGTTTGTTAACGCCACAGCAATCTCTATTTAAATATATATATATATATATAAATATATACATATATATATATTTGCCGGGTAGCGTTGACTACGAGCCGAGCCGAGTCTGTGAAGAGCACTGAGAGCTGTGTTGCAACAACCAGAGTCTTATATAAATACATACATTTCTACATGTTTCCATACAGCCCGACTATGACTAGCTTGAGTTCGAGTGTTATCAGAGCAGAGTAGCACTTAGTATTTAGTATTTATATTTATATTGATATTTATATTGATTATTTATTAATATATATTTATTGTCTATGTAAATGTTTAAGTGCTAAAGAGTAATTAAACCAACACCAACTTGTTTTTTGTCATCTTTAATATTTACTTTTGTTAAAGTACTCAACTAATCCAGCTTCTTCAAGATATATCATTGATTTTATGCCTAAAGCTATGCAGGATGTGGGTCATTTGTTACAACCGATATATAGATATAGATATAGAATAGATATAAATATATATATATTATATATAGATATAGGTATATATCTATTTAGATAGATATGAATATAGATATAGATATAAATATAGAAATAAATAAATATATATAGATATAGATATAAATTTAGATATAAATAAATAGATATAGATATGAATATGAATATGGGATTCAGATGTTTTGCTCCACTGTGGAGCGACTTTTGCACCTTGCTGTATATGTGGGTTCATAAACAAGCATAATTGCATTACATCCATAATGCATGCAGAAGTAAGTGGGTTTTGCAGCCTATTGCCCCATGCACTTTATGCAGCGAAATTCCACAACACACACACACACACAACTAGAGAGAGAGAGAGAGAGAGAGAGAGAGAGAGAGAGAGAGAAAGAGAGAGAGAGAGAGACTATCTCGACAGTTATTGGGTGGCCAGGCAAATGGATAATGGGGCAATATAATAACAATAATTTTTGCAGCCAAAAAACACAGACAGGCAGTCAGGCAGCCAGACAGAAAGACAGACAGTCAGTCAGACAAATAGACGGTTAGACAGACAATCGAATGGTTTTATGCACAATCGCGTTTAGCATTTGATTTGTTTGACTGCGCGACACGCAAATCGATGGTTGCCACCCTGCAACAACAACAACGACAACAGCAATAACTATCGAACTAAACTTACGTTGAATTCTGCACTAACTTTTTGCTGCACGCAACGCAGACGCCAAAAAAAAAGATACAACAAAAAAAAATTGCCAAAATCGAAAAATGAACAACAATAACAGCAGCAACAATAACAAAAGCCGACGTCTATCGACAAGGAAGCACGTTATTATAACGGTAAATGTGCTAAATTTTGGATACGTTTCGCTAAAGTGACGAAAAAACAACAACAACAGCAACAAAAAACACACACACTCGAAGAAAAATTAAAAAATAAATATATATATATATAGGAAGAAAACACGAAACAACGACAACAAATGGCAGAAGTGACGGCAACGACGTCGGCAACGACGCGACGCTGGACGCTGACGACGTCCGTGCAAAGCCGCAGACAAATCGCGAAAACTGGCCCGGGACGACAACCAGATGACTTTTGGCAACAGCCAGCGCACAGCCGCCGCAAGGGTTGGCTCGGCCTCGAGCTCGGGTTCGGCATCGGCTTCGGGTTCGGGTTCGAGCTGGGGCTCGGTCGCCAGCTTCGGCTTCGTGCGAACGCGCTCGCTAAGAGCTTCAGCTTCCGCGCAAGTCCTGCAGCACGCCAAGGCACCAACTAAATTCGAGCACCCAACAATAAACTATGCACTGGAAAATAGTGTGGCACACTGGATCAAGAGTTAGCCAACAATAGCTCAACTTTTCCCTCGATTATTATAACAATTGAAAACGCAGATGGACAACAGTTATCCCTTATATATTTACAATTATCAAGACGGGAATGGACGATTGTGCCCATTTGCAGCTTGCAACATTTCTCAGTGTACAATGAATTTAAGAAACTATAATACATTTTATATTCTGAAATGTTATATAGAAAAGAAAGGGGTTTTTTAATATAATTTGCGTAATTTATATTTACATGGAAAATGCCAATTTAAAGCAAATATTGTATTTTTTTTTTGTTTTTAACATGTCTCAGAGCAAAGTCATAGGTAAAAATAAATGGCTTTAGGACACCGAAAATGTAGGAAATCTGTGCACATTTATACGTAATCTGTATTCATAACTACAGAGGTACTCAAAACCAGCATGGATTTGCTTGATCCAGAGATACAAATCTTGGAATTTTAAAAACGATTTACGCTAATAGGGATTATTAGAGAGTGCGTAATTTCTAAAAAAAAAACTGGAAATAGTCTTGAAATAGGTATTCGAATACTTGATACAAGCGTAAGTAGTCATTTCATGTAACAAGTGTACTTTATTCAAGTTTTGAAAGACTGACTAATGCCAATTTTGAAGTCGAAAACGATTAGTTTTTTTTTAAGTTGCGCTAATGACTCGTTCACTTAAAACACCTCATCAATTTAACATTTAATTTCACAAACTTCAAACTGAGCTTAACTCTTGGGCAATTATGCGCCACTGTGCCTTGAACAGTGTCTCCCTCTCTCTCCCTCTCTCCCTTCCCCACTCACTACTATCGAATATAATTGTAATCCACAAACGCTATCTGTGTTGTTGTTTTGGGAAATAGTCGAGTTGGGGATGGGTACAAGCCAGAGAAAGGAACGGGGAATGAGAACGGGGACAGGGCGCATGCGTTGCAAACAGAACAAAACGGAACAAACGGAGCATATGGAAGTCACTGCAAGGCACAAACTGCGACACTGTGTGTGAGTATGTGTGTGTGTGCGTATTTATCAGCCTTTTTATATATATATAAATAAATATATATATGCACATATGTGCGGCTCTTGGCTTATCAGTTTGCATTCGTTCCGTTCGAAAAGAAAGTTTGAGCAGAATTACCACACAGCAGCCTAACAGAGAGAGAGAGAGAAAGAGGGTGAGCTACAGAGAGAGAGAGAGAGAGAGAGCAGTGAAATAGTCCTCTCTCTGGCACCCACACACGCTCTCCCTTTGTTGCTCTCACTTTTGTTCGCAGTCCTGCGTCCAACAGGCATAAACAGCTGTCAACTGTTTATTGACAGACACCCGCATTCATTCCCCGCACAACCTGCCACTCGCTCCATCTCTCGCGCCAGTTGTTGCTCCCCTCTTTTGATCTTGCCTATCGAAATTTATCCTTTTTACTCCTTTGTCTTGATTGGTCTCGTTAATTTTGCTGTTGTTTTTGCTTTTACTCGTGTGATTTGCTGATTGCAGTTTTTTTCTGTTATTTTAATTAGCTGCGTGTTCCGTTACAGAGCAGTTATCAATCAATTACAGTTACGCACTGACATACGTAAATATATATATATATGTAAGTGTAAATAGTTGTTCAAGTGTATTATCATCATTGGGCTCTGCTGCATTTCCTGGCATTTCCCCTACAAATATATTTTGTTGACTAGACATAAACTGACTTCGAGAATGATTTAGCATAACAATACTGTGTCAACTGTTGCTCGATTTTTTCAGTTTTTTTTTTTTGTTTGTTTTGTTTCTAAGAAAAGTTGCACAAGGCTAGTAAGTAAATCAAAAAAAAACAAAAGAAGAAACTAAAACTTTCTAGCTTACTTTCCCGAATACTTTTTGCAATACTCTCACTGCAAAATAACAGTAATTTAATGTTTTGACTGAACTATAAAAATTGACAAATTTACTATTGAAACTGGGCCAATGAAAAATGAAATAAAAAAAAGAAGCACACCCTTTATCGAACAGTGTATGCAAAGCAGATCTTTCTAATCAACAAGTGCGTGTAAAGTGAATGTTCAAGTTGCGCAAGCAACGCAATAGATAACAACAGATAAGCCCACAAAAATGGTCAGATTATGGGGGGAGCTGGAGCTTGAGCTCTTGATATGGCTGAGCAAGTGACCCACAGATAGCCAAAACAAAGGCCGCTTTATCTTTTAGGGGAGTTCGCGCTTTACTACCAAAAAAAAAAAAAAAAACTGTTTATAAAAGATTAATATGTATTTTTTGTTACTGTTGTTGGTGGTGTCGCTTTAAGCCAAGTTTCGCACAGATGTTGCTTATCGAGTGGATACAAAGACAAAAAAGGGCAAACAAACAATTGAGATTGAATCTTCTCCAGATTTAGTTTTCACTGCAATCAAATCAAACATGCTACATGTGTAACGGCACTTTTCGTTGTTAGCTGCTTTCGCTTAAATTCACAGCACACATTTTGGCAAATAGCGGTATCAAAACAGCCAGCAAAGTAAATATTGCATAAAACATACAAGAAACAAGAAACACATTAAAATATTTACAGTTAAACGCACCTTTTTTGAAATCGTTTGGAACCGATCGCGATCGCAAATCTATTAATGTTAATTCTTTCAAATCGAATGCAAATTCAAATTCAAACACGTTGTGAATTCACACATCAAGCAAACAAATGGCAATATACAAAAAAAAAAAAAACTAAAAACACACACACCCACTTAAATTTTCATAAATATTTATGAATGATTTATTGTTGTTGTTATTGTGTTTTTACATTCAAATTCGCAGCTAGTAAATTTATTAATTTCAATTTTATGTTTCATGCCAATTTGTTGTGTCGTCTGAACAAGAAATTTACAGAGGCCCGTGTGCAATTCGTTAAATTATTCGACTTCGATTATTATTGTTAATGTTTGAATTTTTTTGAATTCATACACAGGCACACAACAAAAAATAATCAACAAAAAAAATAACTAACATAAAACGCCGTTGGTGATATGCGCTTAACGGTTACGCACATGCAACGGTAAACGCGACTGATAAGCAACTGAAGATTGGGCGCGCGAGTGCCGCAAATGTGCGACCAGGCAGCTGTTGGCACGAAAATACCTCAAACCCAATGTGCCTAAGTGCTGATTTTCGAGATGGTCACACAATGTTAACTGCTACCACTGCCAACAGCAATGTTAACAGCGCTGCTCCACACTTAACAGTATAGGCAAATTAAAAAAATTAAAAAATTAAATTAAAAAATATTTATCACTATATTTAAATTTGTGACTTAATATAAAAAAAAAATATATATATATGTGGTAGTAAAAAAAAGTTAATGACAAAAAAAATTGAATTTGCCTTACCCCAGATGGGACTCGAACCCACAATCCCCGGCTTAGGAGGCCGATGCCTTATCCATTAGGCCACTGGGGCTTGTTAACAGCGTTGACAAAACTCGGGCAAAGGCTACGGCGAATGCGTAAAATACAACAACTACAAAGCGCACACGAAAAAAAAGTCGACACAGTTGTTCAAATACAAATAATAAAAACAAAAGATCGTTTTTTTTTTGTTGTATATTTTGCTTTTTATCAACATTGAGAATTGAATTATGTTTAAGCATATGGAACGTTTGACATCGATTTTTCAAATCATATCTTGAGTGACTCGACCGCTCGGATCTAATAAATTACTAAAACAGAATAAAAAATATTACAATTATTATAATAATGAAAACATTGGACGATTACAATAATTTGGTTGGCGCATAAATATATCTAAATTATTATATGGAATGGCGAAAATGGAATGTAAATGGATAACATATAGTTTACGTGTAGCACAAATAAATAGATGACAGCTGAAAAATGATGATGATGATGATGATGATGACGATGAACTAACAAATAGATACTCTATATATACATCTACACATATACATATACATATCATATACATATAGATAAGTTAAGATTCAATTAATTGGGCATATCCCCATCAACGTCCTGCCAAAAGGGTTCGGAGAACGAATCCGATTCGGTGTCCTCCTGGGGCACAACCGGCGAAGATAGCTCCAGTGCCTCATTCGATGTCTCATCGCAGTCGAGCAACCAATCGTGATTGGGTGTGCCACACGGCGTTGCCATTGTTGCCACATTGCTTGCCACATTTGTGCTGGTGCTGCTGTTGCTGCTACTGTTCTCGCTCGTCTTGATGATGCTGCTCCCGCTGCCCGCCCGCGCCGCCTTCGTCAGCGCATTAATACCATCCAAGGCCCTACGGAATGTGGGATCCAGCCTAAAAAACAAAAAAAATTATTAAACAATTTAAAATCGTAGAATTATTGTAAGTTTGAAAAATAAATACAAATCAAGTCAGGCTTGTTATTTATAAGTATTTAAAGCATTCTTCTTCTAAGACTGTGCGAGATATTCGATTAATAAATTTACTTTATACTTATATTTTTACCATGGAGCAGGATATTATTAGAATCTACATTCTTACAACATTTTATAAATCTTTGGAGGAGGTTTCCCATAATCTGACTTTGAATGCAGATTACGAAATTAAATTGGACATTTTTGTAACTATCTCATTAAAATTGTGGCATATACATAAATAGTTATTATCGATTTGCAGCAGCAGGTATATCGATTTTGAAGATTTTGGGCACATGGTCGATAATTCCTTCATCAATCTTCAATATAACTCAAAAATTTGGTGGAGCTAGCAAGCTACAAACCCAATTTGGTGACTCTAGCTTACAAAGTGTGGATTTATCGAGATGTTATCGATAAACATACGACGAACTTGTATGGCCAGATTCAAGTCTATCGCGGCCAGACCGGAAGAACGGAATAAACTCTTCTTTAATTGCGCTAATCGAGTATAAAAATCATTAAAAAAAGAGAAAGAGAGAGAGAGAGAGAAAGAGATAGTGGGAGAGAGAGAGAGATGGACTGACCTGAGGGCCAATGTGAAAAAGTGTAGAGCCCCATCGAGATCCTTCTCGGTGCTAAGCATCTCGGCGAGCATGGCAAATAGCTTTGGATGCGGATAGTTGGTGACCTGCTTCCTCAGCAGGACAATGGCCTCCCTGGGTGTGCCCTCGTATTGATAGATGCCAGCCATTAGTATAACGCCGGGCATATAATGCTCATCGATTTGGAGTGCCTTCTCCACAAATTTGCGTGCGCTCTTCTTTGCCTCCTGATTGGTAAAGTTGAACAAGGTGCCACCGAACATGGTGTAGCTGCGCGGCGAGGTGCGAAAATAGCGTACGGCGAGGAGGCACATGCTCTGCGCCTCCTTGAACCACTTCAGGCGCAAATAGCTGGCGACCAGTCCCTTGTAGATCTCAAAACGATACGGTGCCAGGCATTGGGCACTGCGCAGCACATCGATCGCATCCTTGTGGCGACCCATCGCCCCAAACAGTTTGCTGCGCAACAGCATCGCCTCAATGTTACGTGGATCCATGGTCAGGCAGCGTTCCGCAAAGATTAGTGCCCGATCGAAGCGGGAATTCATGTACGTCAGCTGGCCATGGAGGAACCAATGGGCCGCCGTGAACTCAACAAGTGTCCCAAGTCGCAGCGGTGTTATAAGTTTCTCCTGTTCCGGCCGCTTCTTGCCATTGTATTGATAGACAACCGACAGGGCACAGAGTGCATCCATATTGTGGGCATTGATCATCACGGCCATGCTCAGATATTGCTCGGCCTTCACATAATTGCCATAGTAATACAGGCATTGGCCAATCTTCGTTAGCAGCTGCTCGTTCTGACGGAACAGCGTCGTATCGTTCAGCTGCTGGAACGTATTGGCCGCCTCCAAGTGCTTGCAGCCGTACATCTGGGCATGACCCTTGATCCAGCTGCTCAGCCACTCAATGTTCTTCGGCATCGTGGCAGCTAAAAGAGATTAAACAGAGATTAGATTACAGATTAGATAATGATTAAGATTATGCATATTTTTAGACGAGATTTAACTGAGATCTATCCATCTATATAATAATATATATATATATTCATATAATACACACATATCCTAATTTAAGCGACGTTTAACTGGCATGACTTACATATAGATATAAACATAAATTGATATATATATATATATATCTATATATAACCTAGCTATCAACTAGGACTATTCCTTGAGCTACTTTTCCAGCTACTCTTCAAATGTTCACCATTTGTCTTTTTGGTTTTTGTTGCTTGAAACACGCACCATTTACAACCAGAGAGTGAACCTCGTGTCCTTCGATGCCCAGTTCGATGAGGGCTTCGATGGCCGTCAGCGACATGGGGCACTCGGGCAGGACATCCTTGTATGCGACGGCAATATCTTTCTTGCTAACGCAGCGTCCATGATGATGCAGTAGCTTGGCCAGCAGCAGATTGAGACGTGGCGTACGCATTTTAACCGCCTCCAGTGTGCTAATGGCCATGTTGTACTCGCCCAGTTCGCGATAGCAGACGGCAATCTTGTATCGCAGATCGGTGTCCTGAAATTGCGGATAGGAGCTCTCGATGCCGGTCAGATAGCTGCTCTTGTAGCGGACCATTGCCTTACGCTGTTGGACGACAGCCTCCAGTTGCTGGCAGGCGGTGCGATAGTTGTGCTCCTTGTAGTGGGCATTGCTCAAATACAGCCTCACCTGGTATTCCGTCTCCAGTGTGGCCACACTGCGATCATTTTGCAGCAGAGTGCACAGCAGGCTTGCCTGCAATATCCCAATTAACATACAACAAATCAACTCAAAATGGCGTCAAATTGCGAGCTGTTTGCAATGCTTGCGATGCTCGCTGGCGGAACACTTACAGTGGGCACAACGCACTCGTAGAGCCCGTAATCGTAGAGCTTCTTCACGTTTGAAAAGAGTGCGCTTTCCATGTTGAATTTGTTACAGGCTCGCCAAACCAAATAGACAATAACGGTGCATTGAACTCTCCTCTCAGCAGCGAACAGGTCAAGTTCAATCCGCGAACTCAAATGCAATTTCGCCGCCGCTGCTGCTACTGCTGTTGCTGCTGCTGCCTGCTGCTTGCTGCAAAAAATGCATTCAGCTTGTTGTGAAGAAGAGCTAGTTCATTTTTACCGTTCATTGACGCAGTCGCGAACCTTGATCCGATACATCGATAACAATTGCTATCGAATTGGGAATTGAGTAAAATAACAAATGAATAAAAAGTAACCGTGCAAAAAAAAAAAAAAAACAGAAATGCTACACGCAACGGCACTGATGAGGTGCCTCCGTGCCGCCTCCTACTCCTGCCACACCTACTCCTGCTTTGCCTCCGTCTCTGCTGCCTCCTCCACGCAAACGCACACATATCGACTGCTTAAATTCAACCGGCATTTGGCAAACACAAGCATAACACAGCCCAAGGGGATCATAAACGAGGGCGAGGAGACCGCCACCACAGCCGGTCCGAAGACAAAGACTGGATTCGCGGGGGGCGTGAAAACGCTGCCCTTGATCGATGAGCCACTGGAGACGTCGGCCGCCATGTCGCCGGGTCGAACGCGTGCGTTGCGCAAGAAGCGACTGGCAATCGATGAGCTGTCGGCGCTGGGCTTCCTCAATACACGTGGCTACACCACGGCCGATGAGTACAAACTGGAGGAGTTGCACGAGGCACTCAAGCAACAGAATCTGTACGAAACGAAACGTTTCTTCTCCACCGACAATCTGGGCGTGGAGCAGAATGTCCTCTATGTGACGGCCAAATATCCGATCGGATCACAGCCACGCGAGATCTTCTTCTTTCGTGAGGGATCCGTTGTGTTCTGGAATTGCAACGACATCGAAACGAACAATGTGCTCAATTTCTTGCGCAGCTACGAGCGTGAATCCTATGTGAGTGCCTTGGTCCATGGTGAGTGCGAGGTGATGCCCTACACATACATTGCCCCGACGGCGATCGATGTGGAGGGTGATCTGGTGGCGGACAGCAGCGATTTGAATGTCGCCTCGCGTGCTTTCTTCCAAAATGGTAAATTCTTTGTTACGCCCGATAGCGATAATTTCCTGTATAAGTATACATTCTCCAATGCCATTGCCCAATCCATAAAGTTGGGCATTTGGGAGGCGACACTGGATCGTTATATTGATTCCATGGAGTATCTGACAGAGGATTTGAAACGTGGCCGACGATTGCGCATCTCGCGTGCCTCGATGCTCCGCAAAACGGGCGAATTGTTTGCCTTAAGGCATTCGATCAATTTGTCATCGGACCTGCTGGATGCGCCCGATTTCTACTGGGATCGCGAGGAGCTGGAGGGACTCTATCTGCAGGTGTGCTCCTATTTTAGCATCACACGCCGCACCAAGGTCATGAACGAGAAGATCAATCATTGTGTCGAACTGGCCGAGCTGGTGTCCCACAATCTCAACGATGCCCATCACATTCGGCTCGAGTGGATGATCATCATCCTGATTATGGTCGAGGTGGGATTCGAAATATTGCATTTTGCCGACGGTGCATTGCATAAGAGCGATCCATCCCTCCACGCCAGTCCCTTTCCCATAACAGAAAGTACAGAGATGTACAAATAGATAAATATGTATTTGCATTCGTTTTCTTTTTTTTTCTATTAAAGTGGCTAAATTGTTTCAATCACTTATACATTTATGTAATCTAATTCAATTTGCGCGCTCTACTTGCAAGCATGAGCCGATGTATTTAAATCATCGATAACAAAAGCATTATTATCAACAGCTGTATTATCGTATCGAACTTTCACAACGCCCACTACTACTCGATCATCATCATCGATAACAACGATAACACAAGCATATCGTCATCATCAGCTGTAGTTGCGACTTGTGCAACAACATTTAACGTGCACGGGAATAAATCGTACAAATTGTGACTAAAAAAAAGCAGGCAAACAAAAAATGCGACTGACTTTGATAAATTTGTTCAAGAAAACGGTGCCCGGACACATATTCCGCGGCAAGCGTCGCCTCGTCAAGCCAGTCAGCAAACAGGCAATGGACACGCTGACCCGTGAATATGAGCGCCAGGAGCACATCATGTTCCTGCTGCGGCATCCTTATCTCACACTGGTATTTATTGTCAATATAATACTGCATATATATTTGTCTGTATATTGCTAACCATAAACTCCATTGCTAGGAGCAATCATCGGGACATGCCAAGGAGCTGCAGAAGCGCGACAAGCTGGTGGCCAAATGGACGGATGAGCAGACACGCAGCAAGATGAAGCCACACATTACCATCGAGGAGCGTCTGCAGCACCTCCGTGTCAAGGAGGCGTGGGACTAGGCATTTAATATTCCGTTTGTTTTATCCATGCTTAAATAAATATTATACTAGATACTTATGTAATTAAACGCAAGATTCGTCCTCATAATCTCTGATGCCACATTCTGTTATATACTATACGTAGTCACGTCTGTCTGTTGGGCTTTATAAATCCTTACATAGGATCGAATTATTATTATTACCATATAACCATCATACTGCTAGAAGATAAATACTGGCATTTTTCTATAGTTATAATAAAAGGAAAAGCAAAAGAAAATAAATATTTTATATAGAATCTTGAGATAGGATCGAACTCTATTATACCCATATAACTATCATTCTACTATGTTCCTTCCATGTGTAGATCTTTATATATATAGTATGCATGACTTGGGAAAAAATTCATATTACCTCTCACTTTCTATTCCATAATATTTAGGATCTTTCAAAAGTTGACTTCACACGAATCGATCTGATTAGGTTCATATTTCTTTCTCGTTTTTATTAATTTGATAAAATTTAGTATATAATATATATATATAGATATATATATATGTGTGTGTGTATATATGTATGCATGTATATTTTTGTATATTAATATGAAATATGTTATGTACATATGCAGGCATATACATACGGATCATCGGGCGATATATATGTGTATATATATATATATATATATATATATATATGTATTTATCATATATGTATTTGCATGTAACATGTTTTCTAGGCGCACGCTCAGAACAACTCCGGCAGTTTCGTTTCAATATTCTCTAATCTTTATTTAAAACTTAGTTTTTGCCAATGCATCGGTATTTGTATCTAATGTTTTTCATTTTGTTTTCGTTTTATGCACAAGTTCAATTTACTTTTAAAAAGCATTTGTTTGTTTTGTTTTTTTTTTTTGTTAACAACATTTGAAAAGGTCGGCGCTAATTGAAAAATCAAATTTTCCAAAATATGGTACTGAGATATTACATGGGTCTTGCTGGGGGCTTTTTTCTTCAGTTTTTGCTTCTTTTTTTTGTTTTTTGTTTTTTGATTACGAACAGGATCACAACAGATTCGTAGCAATGTTCTTATTCAGTTTTTTTTTCTTTCTATAATTTGTTTCTATTCTGTTTTTTTTTTCTTTTTCTTTTTTTTTTTGTAATACAATGTTTTGAGTGCCTAAAGTTTCAAATAGAGCTAAGAGCGTATGTGTGTGTTGTGTGTGTGTGTGTGTGTGTGTGAGAGATAGATAGAGTATTAAAAGCGCATGTGTAGCCGAAAGTGTAGGGTATACATAGTGGTGTGTGTGTGTTTGCTAGTGTGGTTAAAGTTGCGCGCATAACCTCAATAAAACATTTTGTAACAATTTCTAAATTAACTTTTCCTCTCAAAAAAAAAAATAGATATATGTATATTTGATTTTGTGTGTGTGTGTGTTTTCGTATATATATATATATATATATATATGCATATTTGTTGTGTGTATGTTTATATATATATATATACCATATTAATAGTTGCTTCAGCTTCCGCCAGCCGTTGAGTTGTTGTTCGTATGGAAATCGAAATCGAAATGGAAATCAAAATCAAAATGGAAATCTCAGGTCTCACTCAATCCGCACTCAATGGCGCCGCATTGATCTTTTTGCCGGCTGCTGTTGCTGGTGGCGATGGCAGCGCCACGTCCGTTAGCTCATCATCGGGCATGATGTGTGACCGCTTCACATTCTCAACCACATCCACATCCACATCGTCATCCACATCGACATCGACATTCATATCCAAATCCATATTGCCATCGCCAGCAACATGCGCTGGTGATTGTATGAACAACGCTGGCTCCTCTGTGCCAATGGCTGTGTTTGCCGCACCTGTTGCAGCTCCAGCTCCAGCACCAGTTCCTACTCCAGCAACAGTTGCTGCTGAGCCGCTGCTGGGCAGAGGTGGCGGCGTGCTGGATAGCATGGCCACTGGTGAGGCGCTCGCAGTCGCCGCAGCAGCACCATCGCCCATGCCACGCTCCCGTTCACTGCCGGCAGCAATAGCTGTGGCCATTGATGGGATTAGACTGTTCTCGCCGCCGCCGCCGACGCCGCTGGGCGTCATCGGTGAGTTGGGCAGCGGTGAGTCGAGCTGTTGCTGGCTAAACTCCTGATTGGGACTCTCGCGCGTAAAGAGACCCATTTTGGATTCGGGTGCACCAGCAACTGGGCCAGTCATGCTGCCTGTCGTGGCAATGGCGGCACCCTCGCTGTCGGTGCTGCTGCTAATCAGGGAATGGGCAACAGTCGGCGCTGCCGGACCACTGACCAGATGCGGCGGTGCATGCAGCGGCACATGCTGATGCTGCAGATGCGACTGCTGTGGATGCTGATGCTGCTGCTGTTGCTGATGCTGCTGTTGTTGCTGCTGCTGCTGGGTAACATGGTAACGGGGTATGTCCGCTTTGCGCCACAACGTTATCTCCTGCTGTTTGAAGTAGCGCCGATCCTCGGTGTCCATCAGCACCAGATTGAGAAAATACTTGACCGAGAACTTCTTATTGATGTCCCGCATTGTCGGCGTCAGATTGTAGCCGGCAAGGAATACGCGTATCGGGATGCTCTCACCCTTAACGGGCGCCCCATCCATTATCTCGTATTTGGCAATCGTTTCATTCTCGGTGAATATGTTTGGTCCGGTGCCGGTCGATTCCCGCTTAATGATCGCAATCTCCATGTGCTTGATCTTGATGCGTACGAGCAGAAAATAGATTTTACCAATGATCGTATCCTTCAAATGGTATTTGCTCTTATTGTATTCGAACTCGATGTGCAGGCAATCCTCGATGCCCACCTCCATTTTAATGGGATTATTCATTTCCGGATAGCTGCAGAGTGTGTGGACAGCAATGTCCACCTCACGTGTAATATCGCTAATCCTACGCACAATTGTCGCACGGAGAAAGTAACGCAATCGCACATTGGAGCCGGCATAGACCTCAAACTGTTTCTCCACGTTCGGAAAATCAAACGGATAGCTGTTGTTCTGTATAAGATCGCCGGGACGTGCCAGCGCCTTGGCCAAACACTTGAACTCATGATGACTGCCCCGATCGTAGAACAATTCAATTTGTCCAATAAACTCAATCTTGATGCCCTGATGCTCCAGTTTGCTGCCCGGCTTCTTTAGCGTTACATTTACCTATAAAAACAAAAAATCAACAATAAAAATATATAAATAAATTATGTATATATACAAATTATCCACATAGTGTAGCACAGTGGTCGCTTCAAGTCTCTATTTGATTATTTTATTATTTGCCGCCACTGCTGATAACCACTGTGCAGATGTGGATGTGGGGCAACGGAATTAAGCGGAAGTCGATATCAGCTGCTGCCAGGCAGATTTATCTGTATTTATCCATTGGATTACCTTGCCGGATACCGTTTCGCCGTCGTAGAAGAGCAGCATTTTTTCCACTTTGCCATCCTCGCCCTTGACCTCGGCGGTTTTCTTATTCTCGGCTCCATCAAATACAATTTCGATTTCGGCTGATTGGCCAAAGCCCAAGAAATTCATAATTGATAAATTGTTTCGCTCGTTTTTTGTTTTTTCTGCACTTTTGTCACACTGTCTGCGGGCTTGAGCGGCTTGAGGGGGGAATTGCGGGGCGCAGCTGGGGCTGTAACTCTGGTATTGGAATGTTTATGTTGTGGTTGATAGCTTTAACGTATTCAGCGCGCCCTGACCCTGATGCTATCTGCTTTATTATTATTATTTTTGTCTTTGTTATAAAACTTTTACGTGTGCCTCCTGTGCCTGCAACTGTAATTTATTGGGCGTTTTTGTGTGAGTGCTGGCTGCTGATGGTGTGTAAAATTTTTTTTTTTTCCTAATCGTATAGACGATGACAAGCATCGACATATCGCATATGTAAAACCGATAACTATGCATATATCGATGACAATCAAACGCTGACACACATTGTCGAAAAGCCGGCACACTTAATGCATAACAGCCCTGGTCACTGTTAACCTGTGCACCCCTGACAGTTTATATTTGAATTTGCAAAACAAATATTACAGTTGTTATTGATGAAATCGTAACTTAGATGAAATTGAACAGCCATTGGCATTTAGTGTTCGATCCATTAACATTGGGGCAACGTCCCAGACTCTCGACACACTCCCAGAGACAGCACACATATTGAACGGCCCGATGGAGCCATGAAGACAGACGGAATGTGAATCTTTATCAGTTGCGTCTTGCGACGAACGCATTGCCAACTTCTTCAGTATTATTCTTTGCCGCAATTGTAGCTTATTTTTTTCACTGTTATTGAGAAAGTTTTAGCGAATAAATGGAACTATATATATTTATCACATCAAAGTTTACCACTCTAGATGCGAGCTGGCATCAGCATATAACTTCATCTTGGACTCGGCTATAGTCAGCTCATTCGCCATATCAATTAGCTTATGGGTAAACATTATTTCTCGCATTCTAAATATATTCAATAAGTCTGCCGTCTGTTGAATACAGGATCCTAAAGTTAACATTCTTAGAAAAACTTTTCAAATAATTAAAAGACTGCATTTATTTTATAGAACGAATAATTGTAAAAGTTTGCTTTCTTCTGTGATTTAAAAAAGTATAAATTAATAATATATAAACACAAAAAAGCAATTTTACTTTGCACATATGTAGTATTTATCATTTAGATCTAGATATCTAGACAAAAGAAAAGTTCTTAGTAGGCATTGACTTTTCCTTAGTGTGCATGACATATGGGAATTCATTCTCATTCGTATTTCAACAAAGCTTGCACATCATTGTTAAAGAAAATCAAATCGAAAAAATCAAAAAAAAAGAAATAAAAATAAATTAATTTTTTCTTTTCAATTGCAAATTGCTAACGAATATTCCTTGTTAGAGGTAAGTGAATAAGTGGCATTAAAAAAAGAACAAAATAGCCACCCAGCACTTGTGCAAATACAGATCACAGATAACGGATAATTATGCCGGAACACGATTACCCCGAGCACCCGGAGATGCCCATGATTACAACAGTTGTCAAGGTTTTTAAGTTGACCGATATGAACGAGATACTCGATATTATCGAGGTGGTCGAAACGCTCTGCATAGTCGATGATTTCAAGATGCTCGAATCAGAGATGAATGAAGACGTTGTGATGCATACCGCTGAGGAGGATAATGAATGAATGAATAACAACGAATACCCCATACTACCTTGACTAGTATAATAATGTGATCAATATAGTATTGATCTTATTATTATTATTTGTAACGTTCTTAATGATTCTTTTAATATATAGTTTCAATGCTTACTCGATCACTCAAGATGCTGTTGCGTTCTGAAAGTTCACTTGACAATTTACATTCCTCCAGTCTCTGTGACATAAGCCTCGTTCTGGCTGCCTGTTGGAGCACCTCTTCTTTCACATCCTTCAATTCGAAGGTGATCTTGGCCAAGGTTTCGCTTCTCTCCGTCAGCTCCTTCTTCAGCCAACTCAATTCGACGAGCAAAAACGAGCAATTTCCTGAATCTGAACAGAGTTGTATGGACTTGAACACAATCCTTGTTAACAGTACGCCATGCGTCAAGCCAATTGCCCATCATGAATTCCATGGGACACATTAATTGCTTACACTCAATGGACTGTCGAGTCTCCATGTCACCAATGCCACTGTATTGATGTGATTGATGTGTTCAAGTGCAAACAAAAAAAATATTTTTTGTATATTATAAATTTAAAATTTGGATAGCATTGCGAAATGTTAAATATAATTCTCAATTTTTTTTTTGGAAATGGGAACGTGGGAAAAAACCGCGGGATGAGCGAGTTTGACTATCAATCGAAAAAAAAATCCAATCCAAATAATAATTTATCGATTTGGTGTGAACAGTCCTGTTCAATTACAGACAAGGGCAGTAAGAACGACTTCGCAGCCCTGGTAGTTAAGTTATTTACTGTTAGCATTGCTTAATTGTAGTTGGCATTACGGCTGCAGGCTTGGTGATTGAAAGCCTAGGAAGACGAGGGATTTTTGAACATAGACTATACACATACATAAGTATACTGATCCCTTTGATATCTTTGACTAATTATGCTAATCGCTGATTTATTTACTTAAGGAAGAATGCAAGCAAAGCTGAATGACGCGCATAGAGAGTTTTGTATTTGTTGTTGTTGTGTCTATTACATGATGTACAGTATGCATACAGAACTATACAGTAAGCAACGGTATTGCAATCCTTCAGCTACCCCCCTCATCTTATTGTATATGTACTGCGACATGCTAGATCTATTGTGTTCCCTTCTAAGCCTGTTGGCTCTTCCATTAATCTCAGCTCCTGCAAGAATGCCAGAAACTTTCTTGGGTTGGGTGTTTCTATGTCTTTGAAGCTGAACACATGCATCCGTAGGATACTATATTTGTTCCTAGTTAAGGCGACACTATCTGCTAGGATATACTTTGAGGCTTCTTCCTGGTGGTTTCTTTCCCGCTAAATCATTGTGGCCCCGGACCCATCTTAGGGTAAACCTATTAGATGTTCCGAGCTGGTCTAGCTTGGCTCGTACGGACTCACGGACTACTCTTGACGGTATATTTGTCCCCTTAAGGGAATTTATTGTTGTCTGACTATCAGATATGATGGCTATATCTGTATATAATTATAATAAATACATATAATATATTCGTAATCAAAGGTAAGAGGTAGATACTTAAAATAAGTGTTTCGAATACCAAGCACAGCTAAATAAGTTTATATAATTCTCTTAAAACTAATCGAATATCGATAAAAATCAAATTCACTTTTTTTTTTTTTTAAATTGTTGTTTATTGTACAAAACAGACACATAATTTGGAAATTGAGCAAATTGTTGGTACATCAACTTGTATATGTATATAATTATATATATTATAATATATATTTATATGTATATTTGTGTGTGTGTGTGTGTGTAATGCACTGGCATGATTTAACAAATACTAACAATTCGGATGGTCACAAATAATATAATACTAAGAATGAATCTCTTGTTGCATAAGCATAGTATGTGTGTGTGTGTGTGTGTGTGTATGGATTTGGGATATATTTTAGCGTACTTTGGGCAACGGCTCACTGAGCATTGCCGTCCAGGCCTGACGATTCGTCGCGTCCTCAATGTGATTGCGTCCCAGACACTTGCCCTGCGCAATGAGCTCCGCAAACTGGGCAACAATGGGATCTCGGCCGCAGGAGGCGACTGCTATCACCGTATCGGCATGGTTCACAAAGTATGCAATAAATTGCATTGTTTCGAGACTGCCATCGATGATGACATCCTTGTAGGCACCATAGCCCGCATACCGTATGCCCTTGCCAAAGAGCATGGTGAAGAAGAATGGCACCGCCTCCGATTTCTTGACGCTGCCGCTCATATTGATGGCAGCGATGCGTCCGTGGTACTGCGCCAGCTGATAGTGTCCAATGTTGACGCGTGACTGGGCCAGCGAATAGATGTGGGCATTGGCTATGTCGCCGCCAACATAAACATCGGGCACATTTGTCTCCAGGAAATCGGTGACATCCACCGAACCATTCTTGTTCAGGTGCACACCGGACTTGGCCATAAACTGTGTGTTCAGCCGGGAGCCGGTGCCCATGATGAGCAGATCACAGGGTAAACGCGTACCATCCACCAGCTGTACCTCGGTCACCTTGCCATCGTCGTCGCCAATGATCTGATCGATGCCACTCTGCATGATCATCTTCACATTGTTGTCCACATACAGTTTGAGGACACGGGCGCCAATCGCCTCGCCAAAGGCCGCTTTCAGTGGGACAGTGTCGCGACCGATGACTGTGACGCTGGCCACCTTGGGGACGAGACCGGCTGCTGCCTCGAGCGCAATGAAACTGGAGCCCAAACAGACGACATTCGTCTGGGGCGTTATCAGTTCGAGGATGCTCTGCGCATCGGCATATTCACGGATCGTTTTCACATTCAACAGATCGGCACCGGGAATAGGTGGCTTGAAGGCGGCACAGCCGGTGGCAATATAGATCTTATCGTACTTGACCACATAGCCATTGGAGCAGTGGAGTTCCTTTTGTGCGGTGACCAGCTTATCGGCGCTAACGCCCAGCCACAGCTCGATGTCGTGATCCTTGTAGAACTGCTCGGTGCGGAATTGCAGGCTCTCGATGCTGACGTTCATCGACTTGGAGACCTTGACGCGATCGTACGGCAAATACGGTTCGCGGCAAACGAAGATCAGGCGACCGGTGTAGCCCTCCTGGCGCAGTGCCTCCACGCAAACAGCGCCCGACGGGCCGCCGCCAACGACAATGAAACAGCGTTCGTCCTGCGTATTCCGTTTCACCATTGGCTTGAGACGTGACGATTTGTCGAGATCGGTGCGCTTGATGCGCACCATCACCTGGCCATCATCGCTGACATTGACCTTGTGGCAGGGCAGCGAATCGATGCCCGGAAAGTCCTCAATGTCGCCCGTCTCCAGATTGAAGCAGGCCCCATGCCAGGGACAACGAATCCGACCCACGCCCAATGCGCCCGTCTTCATCGGTGCACCATAGTGGGTGCACTTGGCGCCGAGTGCATGCAGCCGTCCATTTTGCTTCACCAGCAGCACGGGGGTCTCCTCATTGAAGTCCACCTGCTTCAGCTCGTTCTCCACCAGTTCCGTGGCCAGACAAACGGCCACCGGCTCCGTATATTGGGCATCCAGCTCGTTCGACATTGTTGTTGTTGCCACCTTATCGCACTTGGATTGATACGAACCGACGGCACCTGCACCAGAGAAAGAGATGGAGATAGAGACAGAAAGAGTGAGAAAGAGAGAATTGTGAGGAGTGGTTTGTATTTTGATTTGATTTGATGTTTTGATTTTTAGACTGGTTTAGCTTGTTGTTCTTGTTGTATCTGTATCTGTATCTGTAACTGTCAAATTTGAAATTCGATTTTCCCGTTGTGTCGTTAAATGGATGATTTTCAGATACGAAAATTCAAGAAAGAAAGTCTAGTCTCCCCCACGCCCCTCCCACAGTCGCCCAACTCATCGCCTACTCTGCTCAGCTTCAAAATTTGAGTGGGGCACGTGTCGCTGCGTGACACGAATACAAAGTCGTGCTCGTGCTTGGAAATAAACTAAGAATAGATAATACAGATTACGAATCTCATTATATATTATGCATCTACATAATATATATAAATTAGTCTACGGAAATCGAAAAATAAATGCATTAATTGCAAAATTGTCAATATAATATAATAAATAGATGTAATTAATAACTAACAAATATGTAATAAAATTAATAAAATAACAACAAAAATGTATACAATAATTGAATGTTAGTTTTCAATTTGATATTTATGGTATTTTGCTATTCTTTAATTATTAATTTTGATTTGTGCAAGTTGCGTAACTGAACCAATTACAGTTAGATATTAAATCGATATCCTTAAAAGTGACCTTTAAATTAAGCACAAAATAGAAAAAAATATTTTGCTAAAAAAAAAACCTTAAAAAAAAAAATTATATAGATATAGATTCTTAATCTTAAGGATTTTGGTGGAAAATACATAGAATGTGTGCCAGCCATGCGAGATAAATAAATAAGATATTTGAAATTGGGTTTTGGTTGCTTGTTTCTGCTCTGAAGCACTTGGAATTTGTGAAAGCCATACAAAATATATATATATATTTCTAATTGAATTAAATTGAGACAAGATGTTAGTTGAAAATGTGCGCATCTCTAGTTAGAAAGCAGGCAGAGAGCAGAGCCCTGAGCCCAGATCGCCCAGACGGCTAGTTGGCCGACTTGGCTAAATGGCTAAGTTGGCCGAGTTTGTCAGTTGAAAACATGTGCTGGTCGCGTCAAGAACTTGTTGGGCTGCTGCTGCTTTGCACGGTTGTCTGTCTGCTGGGCGTGGTCAATGGGACGAGTGGAGCCAGTGGCTCGAGTGATGCTGTCACCAGTGCCGGGCAGCAGCTGGAGCTGAAGCTGAACGCACTGCATCTGCACAAGCAGCTGCTGCAGTCGGAAATCGAACGCTTGTATTTGGGCAACTTTATGCCGGAGACGCCGTTGCTGTTGCAGGAGCTCCAACAGCGACAGCAGCAGATCCAGCTGCAGATCGAGCGGCTGGAGGGCAGGGCACAGCATCGTCAGGATGCACAGCAATTGGCACTGAGCTTGACCGCTGACTTTGAGTATCTGCAGCACAAGCTGGACGAGCTGAAGCAAGAGCTGGATGGCATGCAGGATACCAGCATTAGCACTAGCAATAGCAGCATCAAATCGACGCTGGAGCAGCAGCGGGATGCCATCGATAGTACAACGAAGGCGCCAATGGGATCTGCAGCGGCGAGCGGCATTGGCTCCTATTTCTTTACGCCGCTGCTGGCGATGCCAGAGATTTCCGGTGGGGAGAGCGTTGCCCAGCCGGGTCCGCGTTCACCATCGTTGATCAGGCGACTGATGACAATGCTGCGACCACATGCAGCCGCATCCCAGTCGACATCCACATCGACAACTGGTTTGCTGCGCGGCGCCTCCACCAAAATGCACCTCGTGAGCGCCGGGGAGCTGCTGCCACAGTTGCAGCTGCAACGCCAGTTTCTGGACGATGCCATCCGACGCTTGGAGCAGCTGGCCACCAAATCGGGTGGCGAGAATAAGATCTAGCCTCGGCAGCACTTCAAGCACTTAACAATTCCTTCCAAATCATCATTTTTATCTAATATTTATAAACATTTTTTTTTTAATATATTTTTTTTAATAAATCTTGAAACAATTTGTATGCAATGTGAGCCGGTTTGGAAACTTAACTGTAAATTACATGTCAAAACATGTTCAGCGTGAAAAATTTGAAACCCTGAAGCCGTTAAAAATGGAAATGGAAACCACAAAGTATATCTACATACATATGTATACATATATATATATATGTTCTTGTTCAGCCTAAAATTCAGATTTGGATAAACAAATTTGAAATACAAGTTCATTTTTATTACAGAGAGATCAAATGATCAGTTTTGAGCCGATAAACAAACCTATAAACAAACATTAAATACAAGTGAAGGCCCCGAACCGGGCTATGAATCAGGTTCAGATCGGTATCGGTAAACAACAGTGAAGCTCACTAATATATTAATTGGTTAAAAATTCGACTTTTCAAAAGTTTTTATGCCAAATTTTCACAGATTTGAATCGATATTTGTAAGCATCACAAAGATAACCATTTATAAATCGGAATTTATTGCAACCATATCATTTTCAAGCACTCGAAAACCGTTATTTACCGAAATTTGAGATGGGTGATAAGCCCATTTTATGGTATTGGCCAAAAATCTAATCGTTTCCAACTAATTTATAACTATTATGCTTATTAATTGGTGTTTAATTTTATCAAGATTCATAAATTTTATGTGTTCGATCTATATATTTTCGATCTATATATATATTTATTTTTGTTGTTGATAAGGTGCGAAAAATAAATGTTGCAACTATCATTGTTTGATAACACTTGGACACGCTGATAAAAAGACAACAACAGACAAAAGAAATGATGTTCGACGAGCTTGGAACACTCAAGATAATAATATTAATATAAATAAGTATGGGAAACTTTGTTTAGTGCCCATATCGTGCTGCAAAACGTTTTCATTCTTAGCCAACAAGAAATCGATACGTTTTTAAGGAACAAAAGCTGCCGACTTAGGTTGACTCTAATTTGCTGAGTCATGCCACCCACGCAGAACTTGCCTTTAGCTACTGGGTGGACAAGGGGGAGTTGTGGCCCAATTATTTCTATTTATATACAGAAGGTATTAAAATTTGTTCGATATCTAAGTGATAAGATGTCGGTTTAAAATATCCGCTGGCAAGCCCTGCCAGGGTGTAAGACCAATAGCTCTTGAAAACTATTAGAACATATCGAATAACGTTGAATAATGCTAGTTATATCATTTAAAGTGCGTACACATCTGTCTATTATGAAGCATTAAACAAGTGAAGCTTGTAAAGCCTACTCAAATGGAAATCAAACGCATTTGGCCAATAAGCAGTCAAAAATTTCAATCGACTTCCTTTCGATCTCAAATACAAATCAGACCTGGTTGTATTAATCTTTCATATCACGTCAACAGTAACAAAAAAAAATAATATAACCAAAAAGATTATGAGTCAGAGACCTTCGATAGATCAGACATTGCCAAAGTTAGCATCAATTGAAATAATTTGGCTGTATAAATAAAAGCCTAAAAAAAAACCGGTCTATTGTCTAATTAGTTAAATTTAAGTACAATTGAATTTGCCATGATTAACGGCTATTTGAAATGTACACTCTCTCCCTCTCGCTCTCTCTCTCACACACACACACTCAGAAATGAACCGGTTGGCCTTGGTTAATCCTCACACATGCGAAAACAATTGTAAGAAAAGGCAAAGCAAACAAACAAAATAATAAGCAAAGCAATTTTTTTTTTTCATTTTTGCTTAGCCTTATTTACCCAAAGAAATAATCCGCTCGAAATTTGAAAAATTTGACGTGTGCAAAAACCGTATATATGTATGTGTGTGTGTGTAAATGCCGTTAACTTAACGCCGAGTGCGCTGAGGATAATTAAATACCGCCGTCTTAGTTGAGTTCAGAGTGTAAACTGTAAACTGCAGCTAAAGCAAGAAGATTGAAACCAAAACGAAAGCGAACAAACAAACTATGCCTCTCTCTCTCTATCTCACTCTCTCTCTCTGCATCCCGTTCACCTTCTCTCACACCATTACTCTCTCTCTCTCCTGTCTGTCGGTGCACGTTTAGATGAATTCAGGTTAAATATGGTCAATTATCAACATAGTTGCAAAGTTGGACACACGAAATGCGCATAAATTGTAATTATTGATTTCTAATTACAACTAAATAGAAAATATATATTGCATGTCATCAGCAAAGCAATTAGAAAGCCACAAAACAATTGGCATCGAAAGAAAGAATAGAAAATTGGCGAAATATACAGAAAATTAATGGGTTTTTTTGTTGTTGTTTTTGGTTAATAACAATCTCAATTCCAGCAAGTATATAGATATACAAACTGTACACAAGTTATTGTAATTAAAATATAGTTATTGTCAGATGTTTCTAGTTATTTGAATAAAAGTTCAAATCAGTTTTTGGCGTATTACCTGAGTTCTGTTCCGGATTGGGCGTTATTTTGCCAGTCGTTTTGTATTCCTTACAGAGCATGGAACCCATTGTGTGTATTTGTTGATAACTTGAGTATTTGTTCCAGTAAAATAAGCACGGCAATTGCCCAATGAGCCTCGTTTGATGTTTTCTATAATCAATTTAGATTGCTTTTCACAAAATACTAATAATATAATATATATATATATATACATATATATAGTACACAGATACGTACCCAGCAAGTGCAAATGGAATTAGTTTAAATAATGTGTTAACTGAACGATAAGTTGACTGCCACCTGCAAAATATAAATTTTAGGTTTTACACATATTTTTTGATTGATATTATAGATGTTAAATTATATTAAATATGTGTACTTTATTTTATTAGTTGTTAACATAAATTCACATTTTCTGATTTCTGATCATAGATTAAGGTTAGAGCAAACAAAAGTCGTTGGTTTAGTCCACTTTTGTTTTGTTATGTTTTGTTTTTTTTTTTTCTTTTCCGCTCTTCAACATTTTTTAGTTATGTGCTGGATTACGCCATATTCTTTATTGTTTATCTCTCTTCCTTCTCTTTCTCTTCCGCTCTTTTATCGCACGCTGCACGCTCTCTAGGAATGCGCTGTGTTCTTTATGATTCACAGTGGAGAAACCAAAACAAAAACACTCAAAAAAAAAAAACAGAAAAAAACAGAAAAAAAAAACAAACAAACCCGGCACGAGAAGCTTTGGCATGCAACAGGTTGACAAAACGTTGACGCTGCTGCTGCTGATGCTGCGGTTAGCTTTCAAGTGTTGAATCTCTCGATTATAACGACGACGCCACACATACGTTAAAGGAGAACACGTCCGTCGTCCGTGAGCTGCGAATCGAGTCTGCCGCCTCGAAGACAACTTCCATAGTAAGCGATGACGACGACGACGACGTCGACGATGCCATAAAACGTTTACATGTATATTGATTGCGCTTCTACATAGACATACATACATATATATATATATACATATATATATCTATCTATATATATAAACGTATATGGAACGTTTAGGCATGGTCAAGAGTGGAGCCCATGCAAGCGACCAAATTTTGTGGGGCTAACGAAACGTTTTGACCTTGTCGCCGCTCTCCAAAACAACAACATGAGCAACAGCAACTTTTATGCCGCTCGCACATTGCAGGGGACACACCCCGCTGCCCTATTGTTGGCATTACCGGTTTTAAAGCTGAGTAACCGCCAATTAATTGAGAACAGCAGCAACAGCGGCAGCAGCACGCAGCACCAACAACAACAACAGCAACAATCAACTGTCAGGTGTACAACCTTCAAGTTTTTGACTAGGAAAAAAAGAAAAAACATAACGAGGGGTGTTCACTGTAGCATCCAAATTGTTAACTGACAATTGTAACTGACAATGACAATTTTGCCAGCCAATATAATTATGATTTGCAACGCAATTGTTGTACAAAAAGCAGTGAGATATAAGCAGCAACAACTACAATGATCGCTCGGCGGTTGAAACTGCTCGCCTTACAGCCTAATCGAAAATGGCAATTAATTCTAATAATTCGAATATTAAGTAAGAATAATGATCATTTTCGATTCGATAGTACTTTAGTTGATGCATGTTTCTATGTCTAATGGCAAGTTGTGAAAGTTGGTTAATGCGAGAGGCCACTGTATGCATGCAATATATACATATACCCATGTAGTCCATATGTTTTGTTTTTTACCAACTCATTTGACCGATTAATCTAGGACACGGACAGCTGACAGACGCTTCTAACGAACTCTGTTTGTTACGCACTTGTTGGCACGTCTCAGATAACAGCTATTCTCGTCAGCTTAGGGAATATGCAAGTCAATGTGCTTGATAAACGTTACACCCACACATTTGTATGTGTGTGCATGTGCGTATGTGTACATGTATGTGTGCACTTGTCTAATAACTGTGAAACAATCTTACCAATTTGCATTTGACTTACATGTCCTTTATCCTAATTTGCTACTTATGTTATACGTGTTCAGAAGCAGATGCATGCCGGCTTTGTTGTCGTGTCAAACTCTTATCGATGCTGGATTAAATGAATTGGCGCAATTAAATCGATAGTTTCGATAGCAACTGTTAAGTTAACAGCAGTGCTTACAGTTTGCACACATTGAGCGATAGATGGCGTGCAACTGCTTATGGCGCTAAATTTAAAATGTTGCTCAACTGAGCTTTTTTTTTGAATAGTTATGTATGCATATATAGTTAATTATCGTTGATTAAAAATGGAAAGAAAAAGCACTGATTAAACACATATACACATATATTTGTAATTAAACATTCATTATTATTCGGTTGTGCATTTTTATTGTTCTACGTTGTTGATATTTCTATATGAAAATCAAACGAATCAATTTTAATTAATTGATATTGTTATTGCAACTATGTATGTGCAAATATGTATATTCCAAAGGTCACCATGTGCAGCTTACATATACATATACATATTTCGTAATTTCATTTTTTCATTTTATGATCAATGATTAATTGATTACAAGTTATGAGGGAAATGCGGTTAATTGTGCTCCTAATCAGGTGAATATATGTAAGTAAGCCATGATGTATGTACATACTTATGCATGAATGAATGTATAAGTTGTTATAATAATAAGTTATTGGTTGTTTACAGCTGGTTTCCACGCGCCGGCCAAGTGATTGCCGTGTGCCGATTACAAATGCTGATTTCCACAATTCAATTCATGAGCAATGCTCAACTGAATCGCATCTCTAGATTAAGTTCAAAGGTCACACGGACTCGCGACGACGACGACCCAACAACCGACTGACAATAGCAAAGCGTCCGTTTGTTATTTTTTATTTTCTCTTTTTTTTTTCGTTTTCGTTACTTTTTCGGGGGTGCAATGTCCCCGTTTGTTGCCGGCCAAGGTCGTCGCTGGTGTCGTCGCCTAAGCTGAGCGACCAGACAGAGCGACGGCCTCTAACACACACACACGCACACGCACGCACACACACACATACCTAGTTGAAATGCCTAATTCACAGTTGGCAGGTTTGGTTTTCTTTTTTTTTTTGCACTGCATTTGATTCGGAATCAAAGCGAAGCACAAAACGACACTCGCGTCGTTTCTGTTGCGTTCCGTTATTCTTTCTATTCAATAACGGACCAAACGTTGACCTTGAAACAGGCCTTCGCCTGTGGCCGACAATGCACCGTGGTACATTTATTTTTCAAGCGCGCTAATCAAATAATATTCTCATCTAAATGTATAGAATTATATCATTCTAGAACCAAAATGTGTGTCTCTATATAAATGTATATATTCATTTGCAGATTATAAGGATTAACAATCCGTGTACTGTGTAAGCATATCAGCTTTTAAGCCATACATTATAGATTTCAAAATGAATAAGCGATATTATATTAAATTTAATTATATTAGGCGTAATTATATTGCGTTCTTAAGTAAACAACCAAATTGATTCAATGTTGTTGATTCTAAAATAAAACGACCTCAATTTAAGAATATATTCTTTATTTTGACTTTGGCACTAGAATGAATAATATATATTATATATATATTTTCTTGATTATCGATTGTTTTGTTGTTGTTGCTGTCTGTGAAATTTGAGCGCTGACTTAATATGTAGGCCCACTGTATTGTAACTGGCAACTGCAGTTCATTGGCTGCTCCGCCTGAAGAGAGAGGTTTACGCATCCTAATCCTAACCATGACCTCCACACACGAATCGACGAGCAGCACTCAAATGTGTGTCTATGGCCCTTGGCGCCATTTTCTCCCTCTCTCTCTGTCTCTCTCTCTCTCTCTCTCTCTCTTTCTGTCTGTCTCTCTCTCTCTCTCTCATTCTTAGATTTTTTTCGGCTTAAAGTCGCTCAACAACGCGTCGCTGTTTTGGTTGTTGTTGTTGTAATTGATGCAGTAGTTGTTGTTATTGTTGTAGTTGGCACAGTTCAACCTGCGCCTTGGCAGTTTATTGACACCAGCGATAATTTCGCATTGTTTTTGTCTGATTTCTGCTCAGTCTTTAAAATTCAATAAGAGCATATAAAAAGCAACTAATTAATAATCAGTCGTAATATATGAATATACACACATATATGTATGTATTTATATATATACATATCATATCGTATTCACATCAGATATAACTGTAGGAGTTTGTTAAATTGCTAGATGAACAATCTGATTTACGTTACCAAAAACAAAAATCGACGAAAAAAAAAGTTGATTTTTTACAAATAATTAGGTAGAATTCTAACTTTGCCTTATTAGCAACAACTGCTCAAATTAGATCAGACTTTGCTCAGCCTGAGCGAAGGACACACCATGTTAAAGTCACAGGGTATCTGCTAGTCGACCCCTCTCCCTCTCTCTCTCTCTCTTTCTCTCTCTCAGCAGTCTTGTTAAACTTAAAGTAATGTTTATTTTTCCATCTAAACCCAATTAAGTCAGGCCTGAACTGATTTTCATGTTGAATAATTTCAAATTAAAGTTCAAACTTTATTCGCATATTAAAAATGATCAATTCTAATGTACAAAATACAAATAGAATATAACATTTGAAATCCGACGCAGAGGTAAGAGTGATAATGTATACATACATATATATATATTATTATTTTTATTTTTTTTGGCTTTAAATATTCAAAGCAAAACAAACAAATCGAGCGTAAATGCAAAGTTCAATTTGAAGACACAAATTTGTCGCGCTGTTTGTTATTTGTTTACATTTGCAGTTGTTGTTGTTTGTTGTTGCAGTTGTTGTTGTTGTTATAATTATTATTATTGAGCGAGTGGAGTGTCTGGGTCTGGAATGGACTCTCATCTAGGCCTGGTATCGCCCGCCGCCAGCACCCCGCACGCTTCTGGGTCAATAATCTGCGCCGGAGTCGCACTGTTCCACTGGCGCCCACTTGTCGCGCATGTCAATCAATGAAGATCCAATTTTAGCACAAGTAAACAATATTTGCACGCTGGGCCGCGTCTGGCCGATCCGTCACCCATCATCATCATCATCATCATCACACATAGATTCCAATTGCATCTATGCCCCACCCCAACTGGGGTAGCCGCCCAGCAGCGCCTTATCGCCCTATATCAACTCTGCGCTCTTTCTCTCTATATATATATATATATATATATATATATATATATATATAGTATATAGTCTGTCCCTGTCTCGATTTACTCTATCTCATTCGCCGGAGCAATGGTGAAAGGAAAACAACTTTGTCCCTGGAGATCATTATTGATTACGTGTATTTTCTGTCTCTTTCTTACGCCATCTATCAAAACTGATATTGAAATTCCCTTTAAAATCATCCTCCCTTCAACAAATCGTCAAATATCAATCATAGCTTTAATTCATACCACTTCCTCTGTCCACAGTTCTTTCCACAATTGGCTCGTTAATATTTTATTCCCCAGAATAGAATAGTTCCAAGTACTTGTTGCCTGCAAGAAGTATACATTAGCTCATTAATCATATTTTTGATCAAGATATTAAGATATTAAAATGGAACCATAAATCAAATAGCAAATATCAATTATTGATTTACCTGGTACAAGAACTAAGAAATCTTCCTCTTTCTGCACTTCCCAAATACTTCAATATCCCCAAATTTGATCAATTTCAGATCGTAATCGTTTCGGGGTTGTATTTTTAGATCATAGTATTAACTAGTGGCAATAAGCCGAAAGAGTTTGGTTCTTGGTGCTGTGGCTCATCGTGTGGACTTTGAACCGTTTTGTTGCGTACACACAGAGAGTGGCCAGAGTCGCCAAATAATACCCAAAAGTCGACACCCCAGAGCCGAGATCTGACACCCCCAGACTCTGAATCTAGAGCCGAAGACCCAAGCGTTCGCTTATCAAATAACAATGAACCAAACAAATATAAAACGCTTGCTTCTTATTATTACACCACTCTCTCTCTCTCTCTCTCTCTCGCTCTCCCGCTCTCTCGCACTCCCGCGCTCTCTCTCTCTCTCTCTCTGTCGTCTCGGAGTGTGTGGCGCTAGCTTTGTGTCTGTGGCAGATTGTGCTAAAAATAGGGGGGTCTCCGATTGGGCGCGCGCTGTTATTTTAAATGGAAACTAGATCACGCTGAATTCACGTTGGCGTTGTTTACGTTTTCATCGGCGTTACGCCCACAGCCTGCACTCGTTGTTGTTGCTGTTGTTGTTGTCGTTGTTGCGGGTTTCCGTTCTTCGTTCACGGCTGGCTGCAACAAACAACAACAACAACAGCAACAGCAACAACAAGAACAACAACAACAGCAGCCCAAGCAACCAAAACATCAACAACATGCCTTATCAGAGAGTAGCTACCGTTATCAAAGCAGCACTCACACACACACACAGACTCGCAGTATAAATGTGTGTGTGTGTGTGTAGATGTCGTGTGCGTAATAGATGATCCACAACAAGCCAAGGACCCAATGAGAGTCTGTGTACACACACACACACACACACATACACTCGCACACACACACACACACACACATACACACACACACATACATATATGTAGCCCAAATCTAAAACGATCTTGACTCAATTACAATACTCTTAGTTGTAGGCAGGCCTATAAAACTAGGCTCGCTGTTCTAGTGTTTGTGCCAGTGTTGTACAGTGTTTCGCTTTTGCTGGGCGGAGGGAAAACCCCGCAATAAACAAGCTATATATATACACATATATAAATATATAATTATATATATATATACATATATATATATAGCTTATCTGTTTGCTTGGCCCCTTGTCAGCCAATTCAAGTGAAACGGTAACTTTGAATTCTTGCGAATTAGAATTAGTTATTAATGCGACATGTGTGTCTATCTATCTATCTATCTATCTATCTATCTATATATATATATATAAGATATGGTCACGATAATCAACGCTATAGATATATATATATATATATATATGTGTATATATCATGCTCTTTTTATTCTCAACAACAATATCAATAAAAGTGCACAGGTTAAAAACGTTGTTGCCGTCCGACTCCAAATGGGGCACAGTGGCCAGTGGCGTTTCAAGTTGAAAAGAGACAGCGAGCGTAATAATGACGCTGACGCTGACGATGACGATGATGATGATGATGATGATGATCATGTTGATGCTACTGTCACTCGCTGATGGATTCACTCTAGTTGTTCTTTTTATTTGCAGTGTTGCTCGGCGTCTACTCAAACAGATAACGCACACAAAATGCACACTGTCTCAGTCTCTGTGTGTGTGTGTACTTTGTTCAACAGCAAATATTATTAATATTGTCATTGTTATTGTTATTAATGCTAAATACAGCACATCACATGCACCCACACACTCATGCCACATGTGTGTGGCAACAGTGGGCACTCGCTTTCAGCTTTTTAATACAAAAGTTGCAAACAAATGAAAAAAGTGCAAATTTATTTATATTTACTCATCTCTAGCTAAGTTTTTTGTATCAGATTTTCTTTCATTTCTTTTTTTTTAACAATAATTTGTTATTTCCTTGCACACTTTGTGTATAACTTTGTGCATTATTGTTCTGGACAAATCCAAGTTGTTAATTGGCAGGAGGGCCCACTGTACGGCCACACATACAGCGTGAGGCACAGTAGCACAGACATATATGTGGCAGATATGTATGTGTGTACATCTGTAGGTAGTACATACATATGTATAGTTAAGGAAGAAAAAATAGCACCAAAATGTAAGCTAAACTCTCAGAGAGAATGTCTTCTTCAATAAACAAATGAAGATACAATAATTCTAAGCGCAAACATCACATTACATAAACATATTTGCAACACTATGAAAATAACACTGTATTTTATACGTTTAAAAAAATCGACAAATTATTGAAAATATCAGATTAAAATGAGCTTTTATGATTATACGAAAGGTTAATATTGCGTTTTTTACTGTTAGCCACAAGTTCTATCGACATTAACAGATTTTGATAATCATTCCAATTTTTTTCTTTTTTTTCTTAATTTAGATCTGCCAAGAATGGTATTCAAGGGGTTCTTTTCCCGTTTGAGGTCATTCATTATGTGTTATAGTTATCTAATATATCAACGTAAATATCAATGAAAAATCAGGCGCATTTCATTATCCTCGAGCCGTTTTACAGCACTGAAATCGTTATTTGAGCTGTAAATAGAGAATAGTGGTATTTGTTGTGTGGCCGGCACTGTGCACAAAGAGCTCATGAATATATCACTTCAGAGATCGACATAACGGTTACTCTCTGCGACTGTGGCGAGGCTTCGTGGGGCGCTTGCACCACACAAAGAATTCTTTTTCAATTTGGCTGTGAAACAACGAGGAGCAACAACAACGAGTGTCTCCACAAAAAAGAAAACAAACGAAAAAAAAATAAACTAATATAAAATAAATAAATAAATAACGTGGATCTGATATACAAATGCAAATCGAGTAACTGTGCTTCATCTGATTGCATTAATGAACACTGTCAAAAAGGGAAGCCAAATCGATGTTCAATCGAAAATCGCATTGCGCGCGATAAGCAATACTGAACGGATGATGATGATGCATGCAGGAAACGGACGGGTTGCCAAATGAACAATTAAAACAAAAAAAAAACAAGGAAGGCGAGGGTGAACAAAAAGAAGAAGGAGAAGAAGAAATCAAAAGCCACCAATCAGACAAGCCAGCCCAGCTTGACAAACAAACAAACAAATCTTCTTGCAAGTGCCTTGAGTGAGTGTGTGTGTAAGTGTGTAAGTGTGTGCGTGTGTGTGTGTGTGTGTGTGTGCGCGCGCGTGTAAGTGAGATAAGAGCAAGACGCACAGCAGACAGAACAGCAGCATCAGCAGTCGCCACATTCTTGGGCCGCAGTCTGAGTCGGAGTCTCGGGTCTAATAATAGCACACTGGTAGCTAAAAATACATACAATCCATATCATCCAGACAATTCCGATGCCGTTGCCCAGCAGGCGCAGCCGCAGCACCACAAACACTGGCAAACAAATCAACTAACTAAACAGCACTACGAGAGAATGAGTGAGTAAAAGAGTAAAAGACTAATCAAGAGAGAGAGAGATAGAGAGAGAGAGAGAGAGAGAGCGAGAGGAGAGTGAGAGAGAGAGAGAGGAGCGAGAGAGTGAGCTTACGATTTCGTAATAAGCGTGCAGGCGAAACGAGCAGCTGATTGTTTATTTGATATTTGCCGATAGTGATAGAAAGACGCACGATATAGCCGAAGGCGTGGGCGTCTTCGTCTTCGTCTTCTTCGTCGTCGTCGTCGTCGTCGTCGTTCCGATCATCGATAGCCGAGCGATAGCCGAGGGGAGGCTGGTGAACAAAAACAAAAACAAACACAAAAAAAAAGGGAGACTTGAAACATATGCGCTAAGCTTAGTCAGCGAAAGCATCGACAAGAAAAGCAGCAGCAGCCGCAGCAGGAGGAGCATTGAGCGCAAAGTGTGTGTGTGTGTGTGTGTAAGTGTGTGCGAGAGACAGCGAGACAGAGAGAGAAAGAGAGAGCCGAAGAGAGGCGATCGAGAGGCGTTTGGGCAAGTCGTTTGATCAACGCTGAGCCTGATAATCAAAGCGCGTTCCAAATCCAAGCCAGCCGCATCGTTTGGTCGTGCGCTCGACCGATTTCTTTACTCATCGATTGCGTTACGCTCAGGACACTCTTCCAACTCCAACATTAAGTTCCGGGCAATAGCAACAAAAGCTACAACAACAACAACAACAACAACAACATCAGCACGAAATGCAACAAAATCGCAAATCAGCGCGTGTCATGAACATCAACAAGAATAAGAATCATACGCTAAAGACACGCCAGCCAATTAAACCCGACTCGTTGGACTATATCGTCACCAATTAGCCAAAAGACAAAAATATTGAATATAATAATTACATCTATTAATATTATTATTATTTGAAAACGTTACCGTTTCTCTTTTTTTTTTTTTTTGTTGTGTGTAAACCTATTCCTAGCAGAAACTGTTTTATATTTCTTTTTTGTATATTTGTATAATTTATTTAATAATTTTTTTTCGTGGCAATTAATTGTGATTTTTGAAACTGTGTGATTGCAAAAGAACGACAGCAAAAAAGAAAGTTCCTTAAGCAAGTGATAAGTTACAAACTGCAAGAAACACGATTAACCAGTTGAAATCGGAGCAGTTGCGTCCCCAAATAGCCAAACGGAATCCATATTCAACCAGCACTCAACAAGTTTAGTATGCAAACGTAAGTAAATTATTAATAACATTATCATTTCATATTTATCCTATTAAATAAGATTTATGTTAAGCACAAAAACAAAGAAATACAAAAATTTGCTTTCAAAAGTATGCTACACGAATCTGGAGGATATATGTGAATGCCAAAGCTTATAAAGAATTAGGAAAGCAGGCTAACAATCAGTTGGGAAATATAACATTTAGAAATGTCCTTGACAATTCGAAGAATATATTTTGGAGTATATTAAAAACTTCTTGGATATTCAAAACATTACAAAAATCGTTATATTTGAAATATTTATAAATAAAATAATTTGAAGTGTGAAAAAACATAAACTATTAGCTGAGAGCAAATTTTCGATAATTACAGAAATCGATATATTTTAAATATTTTAAAGATAATTTGATGAGCACTTGAAATGAGTTTTAAGTCCAAATCGGTAATCTGCCCAAAGATCAAATGAAAAGTATAACTATTAGCGGAGATATGTGTGTAAATATAAACTTTTTATGAGTCCCAAACGACAACAAACAAATTTGGGGCAATCCAACACTTGGAATTACACTATCAACAAATAACTTTTGACTTTAACACAACCTTGCCCCCTTGTTGTTCTTTCACCAATTCGAATCATAAGTTCCCATGAAAATATACTGTATGCTGTGCCATACTGTACTGTATGTGTTTATATTTAAATGATGGTTAGATCTTTGCTCGTGCCAACACGAACTATATATATATATATATATATATATATATATATATATATATATATGATGATGATGATGACAACATTGAACCAAATAGCGTGCTCAGAAGACAGTACAACATGCTGACAGCTGTCTTCATTTGTAAATATACTTACATACATCATACATACATCACACATACATCACACATACATACATACATACATATATGCATGTGTATTGATGTGCATGTGCTAGTATTGAGGTGCTGACACCTCGAATGGGGCATTATTGGAATCAACCAAGAATAAACAACAATTTACAAACAAACAATCGGACAAACACACACACACACAGACATTGCTGGCACACGCATCTCAATTTTCTGTTTTGTTTTTATTTCATTTTTTTTTTAAATATTTTTATGTTATTTTTGTTTTATTCTGTTTTCTTTTTGATTTTAATAAATTCATGTTCCAAATGATAAGCACAGCTCGGGTTTATTTTTAAACATTGAAGTTTATGTAAATATTTCCTGGGCCGCGACGCAAACAAAAACAGCATCTGAAAGGAATGGGAATGGAAAACACAATAATATTTGATATTGATAAGCGGAGCAGAGCAGAGCAGAGCAGAGAGGGCAAGCCCAGAGCCCAGAGCCCAGAGACGCATACCAGATGCGAGATGGGAGATGGGAGTGCCGCAGACTTGCCGAGATACGGTGTCGGTAGTAGTTCGGTTAGTACGGGTAGCCCGAGTAGCCCGAGTAGTCAGGGTAGTCTGGGTATTCCCGGGTTACCAGCAAATTATTCTTTGCTTATCGTTTTTGGCAGAACTATTTTCAAAATGGTAAAATATATACATACATATTATGTATATATATACTTTATATTATATGAAGTTGAAGTAGAAATAGAAAATGATAATAGTATTTAATGCATTCAATGTAAGAATTGCCACTTTGTTATTAGCCTCGATCAAACTCCATAAATTGTATAGTTGTATATTTGCTCAAGAACTGTTACACTGGATACACCCAACTGCAGTTAAAGTTCTTCATTAAAAACTTAGAATGTGGCTTAGTACAATTATTCAATTAATCGCAAATAGCTAAAAAGTAAGGTACTTGCCGGTACTGTCATTTGTATGCTTATAAAAATTACCTATCTCAGCACTTGTAGCTCTTAAGATAATCTAAGTTACTAAATATATTCTCATGGGATATAGTTGATATAGATTTAAAAATCAGGCACTTGCTGGAAATTCACTTAGGCGTTTCTAAGAATTACTTCTGGCAGCATTTCTAGAACTCAATATAAGTTCATCTACCATTCATCTATATAAGATATATAAAAACCTAATAAGAAGTAAAACAATTTCATATCAGATATGGAAAACTAACTGAAAAAAATTGCTATATTTGTGTGAAACTATTCTGGAAATAACTTTAAACACATATATTGTTGGGGGTTCCATTCCAAGTATACTAGAAAGTAAGATAAGATAGATGATAGTATCATTATATCATTTTAATATACTTATCCATTTGTCGTTCCAGATGATTTACTCACCACCAAGCTCAAGTCTGCTGCCCCTGCTGGCGACAGTTGTGTGTGTGGCATTTGGTCTCTCATTGGTGGCTGGGGCACCCATCAGCATCACGCCTGAGGATGTGGAAGTTAAGCATCGCTGCAGCAAAGAACTGGCCGAAACCATCAACTTTATCTGTCAAGGTCGCACAGTCTCGCTGGGTCAGCTCTATCGTGAGTGTATTTGCTCTCCAACTGACTGCAAAACAACCTGACAATTTTCTCATTTTCTTTTCTTTTTTTTTTTTTTGGTTTGGTTTGGTTTGGCTCTGTAGCCCATAGCTTTGGCAATCGTAATAAGCGTTTCAGTCCCGACGAGATCTTCTATCGGCCATTGCAGAATGGCCCCATCCACGAGTGTTGTCTGCGTCCCTGCGGCTATACCGAGATGTATCAATATTGTGCGCCACTAGGGTAATAGGATATATATATATATATATATACATATATATATATATACGCACACACATACACACACATATATATAGGCATTTTAGCATCGCCAATCCAACACAAGACAACAACATAATCATACGTCTAACGGCTTTTATTGGAATACACCAAGCCGCATTACACTACACTACACAGCACTAGACTATACTACA